CGTCGTCGTCGCCGTCGTCGTCGCCGCCGCCGTCGCTGCCGTTGCCACCGCCGTCGTCGCCGTCGCCGTCGTCGTTGTATTACTCCACATCATCCACACCGCCGTCTCCACCACCACCACCACTATCACCGTCGGCGCTGTCTCGAGATCATCACTGTCCCTCGCTCTCCAACTACTGCCCGTAAAATCGTGGTGTAGTGCCGCGCGCTCGCGGGAAGGACTCGCTCCGCTCCGACTCGTGGTCAACTTCATTCCTGTCAAGCAACAGAATCGAGTTATCGCCATCTAAAATCGGCCATCGTTGTCATCGTGCGGCTCGCGCGTGGTCCCGTCGTGGTCCAGCGATCCCGAAGCGAGCCCGCGAGCTCGCTAAGAGAGAGCTCGACGAGGGATCACCCCCTCTCCCCACCTCTCTCTTCTATCTCTCCACTCCCCGCCGCTCGTCGATACTCGCGTGCACCCGCGAGTGCACGGTCGCGCCTACCCTCTCCCCCCTTCCCCCCGGGGTGCGAGAAGGGGACCGCCCTGAGAAGGAGGACCGAGGGAGTAGAGAGATCTCGTTCGAGAGAGCGAAAGCGAGAACGAGAGAAAGAGAGAAAGAGAGAGAGAGAGAGAGAAAGAGTAGTGTCGTCTCTCCCCCTTTCTCCTTCCTTTTCCCCGCCCCCGCGCGCGTTCGCGTCGGTGGCTCCGTCAAGAACGCCCGTGAACAGTTCCTAGGCACCGATGTGCCGCGCTGTGCGATAACTTCCGTCACCTCTCCGCCACCCTCCCTCCCTCCCCCCAACCGACCAACCGACCGACCGACCGATCGACCCCCTCCTCCCTCCCCCCCCCGCCATCCGCGCGTCCGTTCTCTCCCTCCTGGCGGCGTATTTCCGTGCGCGCGTGTGTTACATGTGTGTGTGTGGCGGCCGCGCCGGGCTCTCGAGGTGAAAATACCGCCCTCTCCTTCTACCCAACCCCTCCGTGTATAATACGCTGAAGGTAGCCGCTATCTCGCGCGAGTAACAAGCACGCGAGACAAGAGGGAGGAAGAGGAGGAGTGGACGACGACGAGGAGGAGGAGAAGGTGGAGGAGGACAAGAAGCAGAAGAAGAGGAGGAGGAGGAGGAGGAGGGCGAACAACGGTGCAAGAAAGAGGTGGAAGAAAGCGGAAAAGAAAATAACGGCGCGGACGGAGCGCGGGCGCGAGCGAGAGGGACAGCGCGAGAGGCGAGCCTGCTAAGCGAGAGAGTGAAAGAGTGTGAGGCGCCCGCTCGTCATTTATCCTAATACAGCATGACCTCCAACAATTCGCAGAAACTCCCCACGACGGATCGAGTGATCAAAAGTAAGCCAACTTAGCCAACAAGCGATAAGTTACACATTGCGCGAGCGACGTGCGACCGCGACGGAACGGCATGCTCTCTCTTTCTCTCTCAGTAATGCGAGTTAATGCGACGAGTGCGAATCACCCGTCTATGTATGTATATACTATGCATTAATGCAATGCGTGCAGCATGCATTGGTTCCGTTTTTTTCCGGCTATCTCAGTCGGTAACGTCGCCATCGCTCGTGCTCCATTTCTTTACTTTTTTTTAATCCATTTCTTCTCAATCTCAGATTTTGATGAAGTCGACATTTCGTACAGTTTTGGCGACAATTTGTCCATAATTTTAGACTTGAATATCGCCACTTGAATAGACGCGAAGAAAGATTCTCGCGCTTCTGCAAGATAGGGAGAGGAAAGGGAGAAGGAGAGAAGGAAATCATTTTGCCGGCTTCTAGCATCGCGAGATTACTCGCAAAGCTCACTTGCTCTGATTCGCTTGCGAGAAGCGGAAGAATAGGCGCGTCAAAACATACCGTGTGCCATACATGCGATTGATTTTCTGCCTGCTTGCCTGATCGGCGGCGCCATTTCTATCGACTTGGTCCGGCGATGGTCTCGCGAGAGCGGCGGAAACCGGTGCGGTTATTCCACGTACGAGAAATCTTCATTACGAAGAGACAGAAAGAGAGAGAAAGAGAGAGAGAGAGAGAGAGAGAGAGAGAGAGAGGGAGGAGAGAGAGAGACAGATAGAAAAAAAAGAAAGAGAGAGAAATCGACTCGCGATCAGAGACTCCGCGAGACTTTCATCTCGGTCCAGCGACCACTAGTTAACCTAACGCCTAACCTCCTAACCTCGCACGGCGATCAACCCCCGCCATCTTCTCCGGAGGTTTCGCCATCCTCCTCCCCCCAGAGGTCGCGCCGCTCGGTCAGCCTCGTTTCCGCGGGGTCGAGGAACGCGATACATCTTGAGAGCTGCCGCTTCTTTGCCTTCTCCGTCTCTGCGATCTCGAACAGCTGATGCGTTACGCATGCACGCACGCACGCACGCACGCACGCACAGTAGATATATATATGTATATATACATATATATGTACGTGGAAGTGTGTGTACATGCGTGCGTGCACGACCGACCACGCGTTAAAGCGCCGTGACGCGAAGACGCCGGGCGTCCGGCGTTAAAGAGGTGATACCGAGGCATTTCTAGACGACTCCGAAAAGTCAAGTGCTTATAGACGTATGTACTTGTTGCTCGTCGCATATTTGGCGACCGCGTTTTCCGAAGTATCGAGAGCGAGAATAAAAATTGAGACACGATTGAAATCGGCTTTCTTTAATAAGTCATATTTAAACTTTAAATCCTAAGTTATAAGAGATTTATCAATCACAGTTGAATATGAGAAGAACGATCGACTATGATTGGTCAATTTCTTACGGTTTACTTAAAGATAGGTAATGGCTTGTAGAAGGTCTAAAAAATACAGACGATAGGAGCAAGTATTACAGATTTCAATGTAATTTTGTGTAAATCAGAATACACAGTTTCTAATAGATTGAAAATTCTGTTTCCATTTTCTATGTTTTTTAATTGCGTTTTAAACCTAAAACTTCAGACAATTGAAAATCTCATACTGCCCCTTGCGAGATACGAAATGCAAATTTTATTGACGATTTTATATTTACTCGTTTAATTTACATTCTTAGATTATCTTTTTCAGATATTTGTGTCTCTATTCCATATTCGATTCGATTTATCTGCGTTTGGTGCAGTAACTAATCGACTTTTTCTTGTTTATATTTTCTATTTATAGTTTATTATTATTTTTATTTCTCTTTCTTAATTTTTATACAATAGAAACGTTATATAATGGTATTTTTCTTTATTTCACGTTTTATGGCTTTCTACATTTGTAATATTCTTGGGAGGGAATCATCGCAGGATGCAAAATAAATGAATCATTTAATTTATGCATTCATTCAACGTGAAAAGAAAAAGAGAAAAAATAACTGTGTAAGAAGTTTAGCTAAAAAGGAGGCTTAAAGTGAGAAGCATAGATTCTTCGTAACGCATAACACATGAGATCTAAGAAATTCAACCAATCAGAGTTCTTTATTTTATGAAAAGGAAGGAAAGGAAGGATTTTGATTGGTACACTTTCTTATGCATTACATGTTATGTGTTATGCAAGAGTTTGTGCTCCTCATTTTTATGTTTCAAGTTTAACGAAATTCGGCGTTAAGATGGCCGCGTTCAGCAAAATATTTATTTGATGATTATTGGAAGTTTTCTTGGCTGAGATAAGACTATTTCTCTAAATTTAAACGTATAATTCAATTAGCGCGACGAAATTTCTAATAGTTGTAAAATAAATATTCTGCTGAACATGACTGATATCGGTGAGAGAAGAAGAAAGGGACGAAAAGATCGAGCATCACGGTGTGTGTCACCGAGAACAAGCGCCAAAAACGAGACCGGTTTAGGACGCAGGTGGCAACTTCGAATCGTTGATCTGATCCTTCGCCGAGTGACGTTTCTGTATTTTCGCACGATCTTTTCCTCCTCTCTTGTACAATTTTTCCTCGATTTTTAATCTCCTCTCTCTTTTCTTTCTCTATGATTTAATCAAGTGGACGCCTCGTGTCTGCGACGTCGCACTTCCGGCTTCCTATGATGCCAACTTGACGCTCCGATTCTCGAATGGATGAATGTGGGTCACGAAATTGACGAAACGGAAGTAGGCGCGCGCACACGAATAGCTAAATATTTTAATATTACCGGAAGATAGTCTTTTTATTTTTTTTTCTTTTCCTTTCGACGCGAAACCCAAGCTACGCGCGATATAAATAATTATCTAATCACTCGTCTGACTTGACACTTCCAAACAGAGAGGCGAAATAATATCAGTAATTTACGTGACTCCGTTTCTACGTCGCACGTTTTACTTGCAACATCACTTGTTTCCGCCTGGAGTTGTCTTAAAGTCGATTTAATTGAAATTTAGTAGCATTTCTCCGATGCTCGAGCGTTAGATAATTCGTACTCCAATAATGCCGATTATGTATATTAAAAGAGAAAGATATATATTAAAATACGTAGCATTAGAAGAAAAATATTTTGTATTTGTGATTATAATTATGTGATAAAATAATTACCATATGATTAGGAATTCCAGTTTTATAATTATTACTACTATATAATAGTAATAATAAATAGTTATAACAATAAT